TTTTCACGAAAAAACCTAATTCCCACACCCTTCCAAGTAAAAAAAGAAAGTTCACTTTTTCTACATCGTTGGAGGTGATTGTTTTCGAAATATTTACAATTTTTTATCGATGCATATCACTCAGATCGTAGGGCGCTAATAAAAGTTGCTGAGGACATTACAAAAACTAAGTTTTTATGGTGTATATCGTCAAAATAAACAACTTTTTCTTTTGAAATGTTTATCGCGAAATCATTCGTTTTCGACATACAAATTGTTGTAATTTTTCAAAAAGGGTTTGGTTTTTGTCAAAAGTTTTTAGCAATTTTAGTCATTTGTATTTCGTTCTAGGGGCTGAATAATATGCATCGATATAGAAAATTGTAAATATCTCTAAAACGATAACCTCCAGCATTGTTGAGGAAGTATACATTTTTCACCTGGAAATGATGTGAGAATTGTGTTTTTCCTTAAAAAGAACCGAAAGTTCACTGTCAAAAAAGTTAGTGCAATTTGAAATAAATATTGACAGCGTACGCAGCGCCCTCTAGATGTTATATGAAAATTGATACGAAATTATAATTTTCCACGTCAAAAACACCCTGGGTTTCAAATTTTGTGCAAATATCTTATTTTTTGCAAAATTTGTTTTCAAAAGTCGAACAAGAAATTCAATTTCAACACCCTATATCTCCGAAACGAAGCATTTCCGCACAAGTTTTTATATCCCCTCTTTCTTAAAATACGTTACTTGAATATTTTGACGTACTTATATTACATCCTGTATACATTTCAACAACAAAATTCTCATAGAGCAAAAACTACGTTTGAAGTAACTATATTCTCAGCGGTTTGAAATATGAGATAGTATTTATTATACAAATGAATGTGGTGATATTAAAAAAAAGGAAGCTATCGATTTCAAAAAACTCTTTTCATGTGAATTTTAACCAGAAAAAAATCATTTTTCTGCGAACTCTGGGGTGATTACTGCACGGAAATGGCAAAATTTGAATTCTTCGCTATGATCGTTAGCTGTTTCTAAATTTGTCAGATAGGTACTTCTGAAATATAATTTCCAGAGTTGTGAATTGTACAGTGGAATATATGGTTGGTGTTTCAAAAATCAACTGTCGGATGAAAAGCACATTACGCATAAAAATTCTCTCATTTTTTCTCTCACCGACTTCGCTTTTGTAACTCTATTCATCTGAAGACTACCTACTAACCAGAACGCTTTAGCTCGCAATTAGGTTATTTAACAGTTTGAGTTTTTGACAGTTCTTCACTACACTTTGTTTCAGTTTCTTCTATAATTGGTTAAAACCACTGATAATGAGTATCGGACTACCATAGAGCCCAATATTTTGAAGGCGAGAGCTAGTTTGGGTTGAGAAATTAGATTATTGAAAGTCAGAAATAACTTTTTTTTTCGAAAAGTGTGCGTGATGGATTCAACAGTTGAAACGAATCATGCACCAAATTTTCAAGAAGTATCCACAAACAATTATTTTTCAATATAGTAGCGAATTGAAAGTGCAAATACAAGAATGATTTCCTAATAAAACATAGTACATAATATTTTATGTATACTTACTTATAATCGTCAGGTTGACTTTGATATTCCTAGTAGGAGTTTGCTTGAAGTCTACCCTGCAATGATAAATGCCACCGTCACTGTCTTTCACAGTTTCCAAAGTCAGTTTTGCAGGTTTATCTTGATACCGAAAATAACCCCTTCCTCCAAGTACACTCTCATCTGCCCAATGTTTGCCTTTCTCTAGCAACTTGTCTCTAGAATCGAATCTGAAAATAAGGGATTTTTTCAAAACCATGAAAACGTATGTAAAATCATATTATGAACTTTAGATTTTTTTCTAGTTTCATTTTTATTACCGATTCAGCAACGCTCTTCTATTGATGCAAGAAAACAAAGGAATTCTAAACGAAATCTAAATTTTTTCGCATTTTCTCGCTTCAGTAATCATTTTCTAGTGTCACTAGAAATTGAATGGCGGATTATGAAGACAATCAAGAAATATAATATAATGTACTGTACATATTGTATAATGTACATCAGTAACTTTCGATACTTTCTGGGATTTGTTTCTCCCCATACCACGAAGAACGAAGAACACATTGCTTGGATTCCTTCACAAGAGAGGCAACTATGGCTGGACATGAAAAATCAACGTCTTTGAGGTGCAAGGAAATAAGAAAATGTACAAAGTCCCTGTCAATCTGTAAGTTTCCCTGTGTTTCAGTAATTCATTTAGCAAAATTGTTTCCAACGGAAAGATTCAGAGACAAATTGAATGTTTCTATTGATGTTTCTTCAGATGGATTAGATACGAGCAATTATGCAGCAGATAATGTGGCTCCTTGTCGTTGTAATCTATATGCACTTTCAAATCACAGTGGGACTACTTACAACGGGCATTACACAGCATATTGCAGACACCCATTTAGTGGCACGTGGCATGAATACAATGATACACACGTGTCCCCAATTTCACCAAAATCGCTTGTGAGTGATGAGGCATATGTCCTCTTTTATGAACAGGAGGGAACAAAGCAGCACCTTTGAGGTGATTTTTTCTCTTCTTCCTTTTTTTCATAAACTAAATTTTGTGAATTGATTTGTATTTCATGATTGTTCCAAATAAATGTATGTATATTTTTACTGAAGCAGATCTCTTTCCAGAAACTACGGTAGCACAAAAAGCCATATATTTATATTGATTGTTTCTTGAGAATTACAACTTTGAAAGTTGAAATAGCGACTTTTAACTCGTGATTCCGAATTTTAATTCTCACAGAAATGAATGAAAAAATACTCATTTCATTACACTTTCTATACTTTTTGAAACATTATATTAATATATTGGATATACCAACGGAAACAATTCACCTTCAAAATCATTGTGAATATATTTTGTAGCCAAAAACACCATGATAGGTCTTGTCTATTTACAAGTTTTTTTCACATAATTCGTAATTTACCAAGTTGCATTAATGTTTAGTTAGAAAGTTATAAACCTCCATTTCGTGAAAAATTATTAATTATTGAAAATGAGCATAATTAGGAGAACTGTCGAATGGATTAACAGAGAACAGTTCCAATGTTTAATGGAATGATTCCGAATAAAGCTATATACGATTACTTTCTTTTATTATTACTTCATTTATTTCCATTTATTGATAATGTGCTCATGAAAATGTGAAATATAACTTCTAAACTGCTTGGTATAATCAATACAATTTTATGTTTGAAGGTGATTGACAATGTTTCGTGATGAATTTCACTAGTTCGGACTTCCATTGTCTACTATATAAAATGATTTGAAATCCCTGAAACAAGTAAAAAAGAATAATTATTTATAATTATTCTTTTTTACTTGTTTCAGGGATTTCAAATCATTTTATATAGTAGACAATGGAAGTCCGAACTAGTGAAATTCAATACAATTTTATATTTTTCAAACGTACCTACTTTTCTGACGGAACCCAAATATGGAAACTATCAAACTCTCTAACTGAACTTTGATAGGCCACGCTTTTTCTGGGTGCCCTGTATATTGGAACGCATTTCGAAAACATTATCTCATCTTCATCTCATCTCAAATTTCCAGTCTGAACTCTATGTAACACATCCAAACAGAATAAAATAAAAAATAGCAGAAGTTCGAATATAGCCCAGTTTTTCTCAGTGTAGAATAATGAGCCATATGAAAAGCTTCAATCAGCCTTTCTCATGAAGGTATTGGCTCTTCAGTCAATAACGTTGGTGAATATCACGTCCTGCAGAATTTCCTATCGAGTAGGCCGCGTTTACACTAATTGCTTACTTAATGTACGTGTATTAGGTACGTGGTGCCCTTGGAGGCCCATTAACCCAATTTGTAATGTATCAAAGCCGTATCCCTATTTGTCGATTTGTGATTGCTGCTTTTTGCGGGACTGCCATAACTTGAGTAAATAATATCTGTATGCTGAGTTGAGCCGATATATTAGAGGTAGGTTCTATTTGATTTCAGCGGTTCAAAAGTGAATTGATAGTAAAATAATGGTAGTAAGGAGAAAATTAATATTGAACAATCATAATCAAATACGAGTTTGCGCTAGAAAAATTTTGTATCTTGTGAACAATATTTTCATAATAATAAAAATCTATTTCAGTCCAGAATTGTGAAATGAATATTTTGAATTTCATAAGCATTCATACAGTGTCAAATGATGAATTCACTATTTGCTCACTCAAAGATGATGTTATCAGCTATAATATCCCAAGGACATTGATAACTAACGAAATAATTTTATCACAGTTTTCGAAAGCACGTTATTTGGTAACATCCCGACGCCGAAGGCGGAGGGATGTTACCTAAAATAACGTGCTTGAGGAAGTTGTGATAAAATTATGAGTTATTTATCAATGTTCGAGGGATATTCGGTGAGAAAATTTTTTGCAATTCGAACAAAATTATTTATTGAACACACAGTTATTAAAAGAACNCCGTAAGAAACCTGAGATTGCACAAGTGCATAGTACAGTTTTTTAAAGTTTTTCATATCCAAGAATTCCACTAAGTACTTGAATTTTGTGAGTAGACCTCTTAATTTATTTTTCACCTGCTCGATCTCATGTGTATCAATTATTATTCCTGAATATGTCAAGTGATTTTTTCTCTATACGAGAGTTGTCTCCAATGTCTAGGGTTCCCAAGTCTGGAAGGTGATTTGGGTAAGATGTGAAAGGCAAATAATATGTTTTTGAGTATTGACTGTTAGTTTGTTGTATTTGAATCATTCACATACACTATTCAGGCCTTGTTCTCTTGTTGTTTTCAAATCTGTCCATGTTTTCCCCTTGTAGATCATTGCCATATCATCTGCAAAACTGATGAGTTTACCATCAGATGGTAATGCCATTACACTATTTATATATATTGTGAATAATAAGGGTCCGAGTACCGAACCCTGTGGTACACCGTAAGTGACAGTCCTGAGATTACTTTTTATTCCTTCAATTTTAACTGTTTGTTTTCGATCTGACAAACAATCTTTCAGCAATTGGTGTGTAGGTCCTCTTATTCCGTAGGAGTAGAGTTCTTGTAATAATCTCTCGTGGCATATAGTATCAAATGCTTTCCATAGATCTATAGGTAGACTTTGTCTTTTACACTGACTAGTTCAACCAGTTAATCTCTTTTTTGAGGAGCAACACAGTTCTCATTATAAAAACGGTATCGAACTTATTGAAAGTGGCTGGAAAAAGTACATAGAGCTGCAAGGAGATAATGTTGGAAAATGAAAATATTTTTTCGAAATCTTTTGTGTTTTCTTTGTTACCCGATTAGTGAACATCAAGTTATTAGGAGTCATGACGATTTAGCCAGTTAAAAGTGAAATCAGGTTATATACTCGTGGGATAATGAAAGCACTTGGTTTCACTTGAATAAATGTAATCAAATGTTGAAACTGACTTTTGAAATTTTCAAAGACGGTAATTTTTTGAAAATCTGTTAAGAAATTTGTTTTATCTTCAACCAGCTGTCGCCTTACGAACAACAACTATCAAAATTCGAAACTTGTGGAAGAAACGAGCTTCCATCGCCGCCCTCACATGGTTGAGAATCTCGGGAGTTATTTCTCTGCAATGTTTCATGTTATTCTCTATCAAATCTTCTAATTTTGTTGATTCTATCTCATACACTTTGGATTTCAAATAACGTCATAGAAATAAATTTATAGGAGTGAGATCCTGAGACATTGGTGGCCATTCTGTAGAATCTCTTCTGCCAATCCAGCAACCAGGAAAATAATCATCTTAAAATTGTCGCGCTGGAGCTGCATAACGAGGAGGTGCACCAACCTGCCAAAAACTTTTTCGTTTTCGAATAAATTTACATCCTCCTCAATTGCCCTATTGATGCACGGTGTTTATCACTAGTCAAATTATCATCGATAAAAAAAGTTCTATGATGTGGTCACCTAAAATTCCTACGCAAACATTCAGGTTTTGAGGTCGTTGGGTATGAACTTGACGGTATAAATGAGGATTCGTATCACTCCAATATCTACAATTTTGTCGATTCACCTCTCCATTCAAACTGAAGGTACATTCATCCGATAAACAAATTTTATACAAGAAATTCTTATGCAAGTTGATCCGTTCAGTGAGACTTTCACAAAACTCAATACGTCTCTCGAAATCATTTTCGTCCAATTCATGAGCTAATCTAATCTTATATGGATGAAATTTNTCAAAATTACTATTAACAAAAAATGAAAAATGAAAATTGAATGATTTCAAACCAAGTTATGTCACAACGTTTCGATTGTTAGTATCCACAATCGTCTTCGGGTGATAACTGGACTTATTCCTCCGAGATCTGACTATTTATAGGTCGTTCGAGTGCTTTCACCTATCCCCTCTTCCCTCTTTTCGCTTTATTGGTTTAGGCGGGAGATGACCATTTGGCGAAAGTTGGTCGTTTTTAGCTTGATCAGAGGTTTCCATCTCTATGCTAGCTTGACTAAATGCATTGTTGGACAACATAAATGCGGCTTCTTTGAATTTTCTCCTAAACCAGTGTTCCTCTCTGTGGATGATTTCAGATTGAGCACACTTGATGTAATGTTGATGAGTCCAAACATGCTCTGCTATTCCGGATTTGCTGGTTTCTCCTCGCTGTGTGTGTTCCTTGTGTGATTCCTCTCATAAATCGACTAAGGGAGGAATCATCAAAACTCTACTGGACCGTACTTTTGGGCTGAGTAATACAAAGGAAGGTTTCGAAAAGGAACTAGGCATCATCAAAAATGACTTTTAACGGAATGTTAACTCCAAAGTGATGGTAGAACAGGCCTTAGCTAGAAGACAGCAAAAACTCCACAAGGAAGAGAAGCCGCAACAACCAGTACTTGTACTTCCCTACATCAGAGGATCATCGGAAAGGATAAGACGGATTAGGTCCAAGTATAACATCAGGACCTGCTTCAGATGTGGGAACACTATCCGTAGCAGCATCACGAAAAACAGGCCATGCACCACACGCGGACTGCGATTCCAAGAATTGCATTTACCTGATACCCTGCGAGTGCGGAGAATCATACATCGGTGAAACTAAGAGGCCATTGAAAGTTCGCATTGCTGAGCACAAGAAACACACACAGCGAGGAGAAATCAGCAAATCCGGAATAGCAGAGCATGTNATGTCCCCCCCTGTATTCTATGGTTGACGTGTATATTCAAAGATTATTTATTTCTACTTCAAACTAGTGATGTGCAAGAATGAAAACGAAAACAATTTAAATGGATGGTTCAGAAACAGCTCTCTTTGAAAACATATCTTATATTATACAGACGATAATAACGAAATTTGAAACCCTCTTTAGAAAAAAAACGCGTCTAGCCCGCTACCTACGAAAGATGCCATGAAGTACAAAATTCCGCCTTGTTAGCATCGGCTTTCACAAAACAGCATAGGTCCTTATGTACAAGCGTACTTACGAGTATATGGGAGTTTTCCTGTTCTCTCCGTCTTTGAACCAGATGACAATGTGCATTTTATCACCGGGTATCGAGGGCTCTATGTCGCAGGGCAACTTCGCAACTCCCCCTTGAACTGCCTCCACGTCGTAGGACGAAGTGACTGAAACAAAGAACAACGTTAATTATGACGACGCAGAAAGTGAAAGTCTACCTCCCGGAAAGGGACACTTGTAAATCTAAAGGTAGCGAGAAGATGAAAGTGGTGTGATTCGGAGTGGATGTGAGTAATTAGTGGAACGCGCTTATTTGAAGTCAAGGTGTACCGGAATGGAGAAGGAAGATATTGTTTAGATTATGATTTATATTAAGATATTTGCCGTATAACGCAGAGACAAACTGGGATCCTATGTTTTTTTTGCATATGGCGAGTGTTGGGTGGTTAAACCTAAACAATGATTTTTCTTTGTCGACGTTTCGACATTTACGTAGTGTTCTTCGTTCACAATGAATTTGAATAATTGGTTCATACAATTCAATCATAATTGAACAATCGATTCAACCTAGGGTGAACTTGGGATTTTCTTTTTTGATTCTATGGGGTCTTCCAATAGGGACTTTCAAACTTCTACAATTGATTACGGTCATTTTGTTGAAGCTACACCTGTCAAACTGTGTTGTTATTTATTCAGCCTATTTGCTCACGTAACTATGGATGGTTATAGAATTCAACAACAAGTTGGTTCGGTAATCAACATTGCCAAATCGTGAAATTCACGGAGCCTATAATTATCAATTCAATTATGGAAGTGTATATGAACCCGTTACCGTTTCAATTAATGAAAAATTTTCCACATGGAATAAAAAGTAGGTACACGAAAAATCATGTTTGGAAATAAGTTCTTTATCTAAAATCAGTACACAAAGTCGAAAAATCACAAAATATTTACCTAAACTATGATTTTATGCATTATTTAATAATAAACAGTTATGAAAATAAAAAAATATAGCAAACTGGATTAAAAAATCATTTCAAATATTCAATTTATTCTACAATCCTCAATCTGTACAACTGCAATTTATTATAAAATCCTCTCTAAAAT